CCTGGCTGTGCCCGGGGTGGGTGGGCAGGGTGCTCCCTCCCTCAGGGAGGTCCCTCCCGCCTCTCCAGCCTTTCCCCCGGGAGCAAAGATGGTCAGGGAGCAGGTCCTGGCTGTGCCCAGCCCGGGGCCCTGGGGCTGGCAGTGCCTGGGCAGTGTCCCTGCCCGTGGGACAGGAGCTGCCCCGGGGCTGGGGGGGTGTGAACAGACACTGTGGGCTGCAGAAGAGGGAGTTCAGTCCTTGGATTCACAGCCACGAGCTGGGTGCTGTTAACAGAGCCAGTTCCCTCCCTCTGCACCTCAGTTTTTCTCCTCCTGCCCCCCCCCGTGCACACAGGGCCCTCCTTGCCCTCCCAGGGACCTGCTGGCCCCGAGACACGGCCACCACCCCCTGCCCTGCCCGTGGCTGAGCCGGCTGCTTCCCTTGCAGGAGCTGGGCTGGCTCCTGCCACCGAGGGGCTGGAGGGCAGCCAGGTGACCAGTGACTCCGAGGGGGACACCTACTGCGACACCCTGGAGCAGGGGGAGCCCGACAAGGTAACGGGGCTGGGGAGCGCTGGAGGCTCTGCCAGCTGCCAGCCCTGCCCTGCCTGGGCTGCTCAGGCACATCTGCAACTGCACAGACACCTTCACACTGCTCAGAGACCTCCACACTGCTCAGACACCCCCACACTGCTCAGACACACCTCTACACTGCACGGAGACCTCCACACTGCACAGAGACCTCCACACTGCACAGAGACCTCCACACTGCACAGACACACTTCCCCACTGCTCAGACACTGCTGGGAGCCCAGCAAGCCTCACAAAACCTGTGTTGCCACCCAGTGCACCTGTGTGTGCTTGGTGTCACTCCTGGGGCCTGGTCCTGTCCCTCCAGGGGAGGCTGAGGAGCCTCCCCAGCCCCCCTGGTTCCTGGGTGTGACTCTGCTGGGGCACCTGAGCAACACCAGCGGCCGCACACGGGGCTGGTGCTGGCACTTGGGCTGCACTCCTCCCACTTCTCCTGTAGCTGCCTCCTGGTTTGGCACTTGAGGTGTCCACCGTGGACAGGAGGGAGGCAGCCCCCCCTCTTTTGCCATCTGGAGCCTGGGCACCTCACTTCCCTCAGGTTCTGGAGCTCTGTCACCTCCCAGATTGGGTGCTGACTGGTGTTACCAGTGGAGTTCAGCTTCACTCAGCCACTCTCCCCACCACCACAAGGCAGAGAGGGGCACCACTGCTGCCCTGGCATCACCCACTGTGCCCCCCAGCCCCAGGGAGGGCAGTGGGGTCTCAGGGCCCTTCTTCTCCCCCTCACACAGGCTGGGGGACCACGGGGCCTCACCCCAAACGGCATCCAGGCTGGGGCTGAGCCCCTGGAGCCCGAAGGTGCTGGGCAGGGGCCATGGGGTGAAGGCAGAAGAGCCGAGGGGAGCAGCAGCACTGACCTCGGAACCCTGGGCTCCCAGAGAGGTGGGTGCAGCCTTGGCCCCTTCCTGCTGCTCCCCCCTGCAGGCAGGGCTGGCCTGGGGGGCTCTGGGGGGGTGAGACAGGGGCAGGGGCTGTCACCACTCACAGGGGACCGAGTTGGCTCCAGCACCCAGGGGTGGGTCATCAGTAGCTGCAGGAAGCCCTGAGTGTCCCCCCTGTGCACCTCTTGGTCCCCAAGTGTGGTGGTTTTACCCCTCCAGGACACAGCCCCTCCACTGCCTGTTCCTCACAGTGCCTTTGGGTGTGGTGGTGCCAGGGGTGGGCTCTCCCCAGGAGGGCAGGGGGGTGAAAACTGGGCCCTGTGCCCCTGGAGGTCTTGGGGACACCCTGTTACTGTGGTGCCACCCACCCCTGCTGCCAGTGCCTCGGGGGCACCAGCTGCACTGTGGGGAGGGGACAAGGAGCCTCCTGCCACCCTCTATGCTGTCCCCAGATACATTTGGGGGGCTTGCTGCCCCAGAGTGGCATTGCAGGGGTGGTGTCATCACCTTCCCCTGTTAACTGTTCCCACAAACTGGGCTGCTTGACCTTGGGCAGCTGTGCCGAGGCTGATGTGGCCAGGCTGGGCTGTCCCTGGGAGCTGCACTCAGGGGGTGGCAGTGACTCCCTGTGCCCCCCTCGCAGCACAGACTGGCCAGGGCTTTGCCAGGCTGGTCTGGGGCCCGAGGGTGGGCAGGGAGGCAGCTGCCCCAGCCAGGTGTCCTGCTGGTGCTGGGTGTCCTGCCTGGTGCCGGGTGACACAAGGTGACCCACGAGCACCACTGCACCTGCCACATGCGTGGGCTGGAGGTCACCCACTGCCACCAGCACTGCCGGCCCTGGGGACAGCCCCGGTGCCACAGGACTGTGGGGTGGGGCTGGGCTGTGCTGGGGGCAGCCGTGGCGTGGGCAGTGTGTGGCACTCCACGGGAGCCGTCGCTTGCTGCCGGTGCAGGGTGAGCTGTGCCAGCCCCGGGGCTCCTTGGCGGGCTCGCCCAGCCTGCCGTGCCACCCGCGTGCCCGTGTCTGTGCCCCCAGATCTGCGGCCCACGGGGGGGGAGCGGGACCCCGGGCACACCGGCGAGCTCAGCCCGGAGCTGGAGGCCCACGTGGCCAGCGCGGTGCGGGCCCTGCAGGAGGAGCTGCGGCGGGTGCGGGAGCGGCTGAGCCGGCTGGAGACGCTCACCTGGCCACAGGTACCCTCCGGGGGAGGCCGGGACACCACCCCGGGCCGGCGGGGCTCGGCTCCGGGCCCTGGCACCAATGGCCGAGGGGGTGGGGACACCCCGGGGTGTGGTGGCACCTCCCGACGGGGCCAAGGCTGATCTACCCCGGGGTGCAGGCAGGGAGCTGCTGCTCCCTCATTCCCACTGTTCCCCTCATTCCCATTGCCCCTGGGGTCCTGGCCCAGCTGTGGATCCCTCACAGGAGCCCCACATGGGCTCCCTTCAGCCCCTTCCCTCCCTCTCCCAGGGGTGCAGGCACTGGAAGGGGGTGCCAGCTACACCCCAGACCCTGTCCTGTCTTGCAGGGGGACACGGCTGGGACAGAGCCCGACCCGGCACTTGCTCCGCAGGTGAGTTGAGGGTGAGGCAGCGCAGTGGGGTGGCCCTGCTGGCCCATCCCCCACCTCATGGGGCCTGGAGACACTGAGGAGGGCAGGTGACATCCCCAGGGACACCAGGGACGGTGCTGATCATCTCCAGGGGAAGGATGTGAAGGACCACCGAGCAGCGGAGGGCTGGGGCAAGGGGGGTTGTTTGGTGACGCTGGTGCCATCTCTGTGCTCCCCCCACGCCCCCCTCTCTGTCCCCTTGCCAGGTGACGTCCCCGTGGCCCCTGACGGTGTCCCCCCGCACGCTGCTCTTCCTGGCCACCTGGCCCTTCCTCACCCAGTGGCTGCTGCGCCGCTGGCAGGGCAGGAACAGGTGACCAAGAGGCGCCCACCACGGCCCCGCTGCCACCCCATCCTACCCCATCCATCCCGCTTGGCGCCAGCCGGGGGAGCTCCACGGACCCATCGCCTCACCAGCCACGGGGGCTCCGCGGGCGGGACCCACCCCGGGCGGGGGGAGCCCCCGGGAGCCACCAACGCCACCACTGTCACTCAGGGCCAGCCCCGAGGGGAGCGGGGCCGGGATCGCTCGGGATCCACGCGGGATCCGGGGGGTCCCATCCACGCACAGCCGGCCCAGCCGCCCGGACACCGCGGGGTGCTGGGGCACCATCCGAGCCTGCCTCGATTAAAGTTGCCTTTTCGGTGCAGCCCCGCCGCCTGTGCCCTGTGCGGGGAGGGGACGGGGCCCCGCGGCCTGGCCTGGCCACGCACTGTCCCCAAATGGCCACCCGCTGTTCCCACATGGTCACCCCCTCCCGCCGGGCCACCTGCTCCGGCCAGGCCACCCCGCTGTCCCCAACTGGCCACCCACTGTCCCCTCCATATCAGAGGGTCCCGGTGGCAGCTGCCCCGCTCTGTCCCCAGCCTTCCCCCAAGGCCGGGTCCCATCCCCAGGCGAGGGGGGTGGCGGTGCCACCGCGAGGACCCTCTGGGGCCACCAGGCCTCTGCCAGCACCACCCCCGGGCCGGGGGAGCTGGGCAGGGCAGGTGACACAGCGGGTGACACACACACAGCCACCACCCCCGTGTGTCCCACAGCGGGCCCCCCTGCCCCCCTGTTCTCCCCGGGCCCCCCCAAGGCCGTGGGGCCCCCAGCCCAGTCCCGCCCCGGACGTGGGGCCCCAGGGGGACATCGCCAGTGGGGTGGCAGGACCGGGCCCAGGACCAGGGCCAGGACTGGGACAGGGACCGGGAAAAGGCCTCACTCCGCCTTATCCCCCTCCTCCCCCTCCCCCAGGCTTTGGGAGCGCAGCCCCCGCAGCCCCTGGAAAAAAAAAAAAAAAGGGGACGCGGCGTCTTTAAGGAGGGACTTCTTTCCGCTTAGGTTTGTTTACATCTCCTCCGCAGGCTGCAGCGGCCGCCGCACCCACCACAGCCCTGGGATCCTTCCGCCCGCCCCCTCCCCTCCCAGCCCCGCTCCCCGGGCCCACCGGGCACTCCCGCACCCCGCAACCCCGGGCCGGGGGGGCTGTGCTGGGGCGGGCGGTCCCGGAGCCGCAGCACCGCCCGCGGGTCCCTCCGCCCGTTGCGGGGATTCTTTTCGGGGCGGTCCCACTGCGGGGCCGACGGGGGGGTGGGGGGGGCGCGCGCCTGAAGGTCGCGGGACCGCGCACGGGGGGGGCGCCCCCCTCCTCGCGCGCGTGGTACGGCCTGGTCCCACCCCCCGCCGCTCGCGATTGGCTGCGCCGCGCGTGAGTGACGTCCACCTGCGCCAATCGCCGGCCAATCCCGGGAGGGAGGCGTGTCTCGGCGCGCGGCCCCGCCCCCGGGCAGTCCGCCGATTGGCCGCGAGGCGGCGGCGGCTCGCGGCGCTGGACGGGGGCGGGGCCCGGCGCGCGGCCGGGGCGGGGCCGCGGGAGCGGCGCCTGCGCGGGGCGGGGCGCGGCGCGCGAGGGTACTTAAGGCGCGGCGGCGGGCCGGGAGCGGCAGTTCGGAGCGGGCGGCGGCGGGCGCGGGTCGGGGCAGCAGGGGAGGAGCGGGGCGCGGCGGGAGCGTGCGGGGCGCGCGGGAGGGGGGCGGGCCCGGCGGCGTTAACCACTCCCCGGCCCGCCGGGCCATGGCCGGGGCGGCCTGAGCGGGGCCGGGCCCCCATGAGGTGCCGGTAGTGCCCCGTTCAGCCCGGAGCGAGCGCAGCCGAGCACAAGCCGCGATGGCCGACGCGGCGCCCGCTGAGGAAGCGGGGCCGGAGCCCCAGTGCGAAGCGGAACCCCAGTGCGAAGCGGAGCCTCGCTCTGAGGCTCAGCCGGAGCCGCCGGCGCAGCCCGAGCCCGAGGCGCAGCCCGCGGAGGCGCCGGCGGAGGACGGCGATGCGGGGCGGCTGCCGCCCCCCGGGGCGGAGGTGGAGGCGGGCGGCGCCGAGGGGCGGCCGGCGGCGGCTGCGGGCGGAGCGGCGCGTCCCGGCCTCGGCCCGCGGTACCGGGCCGTGGGGCGCGCCGAGGAGTGGCCCGGTAAGAAGAAGCACCGTCGGCGGCCGTCGAAGAAGAAGCGGCGCTGGAAGCCGTACTCGAAGCTGAGCTGGGAGGAGAAGCAGCAGTTCGACGAGCGGCAGAGCCTCCGCGCCTCCCGGCTGCGGGCCGAGATGTTCGCCAAGGGGCAGCCCGTGGCCCCCTACAACACCACGCAGTTCCTCATGGAGGACCACGACCAGGAGGAGCCCGACCTGAAGACCGGGCTGTACCCGCGGCGAGCGGCCGCCAAGTCGGACGACACGAGCGAGGAGGATTTCCTGGAGGAGGCGGCGGACGAGGACGGGGGCAGCGACGGGATGGGGGGGGACGGCAGCGAGTTTCTGCAGAGGGACTTCTCGGAGACCTACGAGCGGTACCATGTGGAGAGCCTGCAGAACATGAGCAAGCAGGAGCTGGTGAAGGAGTACCTGGAGCTGGAGAAGTGCCTGTCGCGCATGGAGGAGGAGAACAACCGGCTGAGGATGGAGAGCAAAAAAGCCGGCGGGGAAGCGGCGGACCCGGCGCGGGTGCAGGCGCTGGAGCGGGAGGTGGACAGGCTGCGAGCCGAGAACCTGCGGCTGCTGCGGGAGCAGGAGCTGCCCCGGCAGGAGAAGGGCCCCTGCAAGCCGGGGGAGTGACACTGGGCACGGGGGGGGCGCGGGGGGGTTTTTACAGTCCCGGGTGGAGCACACGGTCCTTGTACAGAGTCGCCGCGGACCCTTTTTGAGGGGCTGAAGCGCTGGGGGGGGGGAGGCGAGGGCTCCCCCTTTTTGAGGTGGCTGTGATGGGGCGAGGGGGGGGGGGTTGATGTATTGGTGATATCTGGTTTTTGGGGTTATTTTATTTTATTTTTTTTTGTGTCTAAACCAAAAGAGAAAAAAAAAGGAAAAAAAATTCCCCAGGAAAGCTGTAAATTGGCCAAAACTGACTATAAAAAATATAGAGGTCTAATAAATTTAATTACTTGTAACTGTTAGTGGTTTCGGTGTGATTTCTAGAAAATAATCAGGATGGCATTCCAGCAGGGAATACATCTTGGATTATTTTCATTATGTTATAATTGTTGTTTGATTAAAACTAGTTGTAATTCCCCACTTAACACTTTTTTGTTATTATTTCCCTCCCCCCCCCCATTTATTTTCAATTTGAATTCTGCTGAAATAGTTAAAAATACCTGGAAAGGGGGTGAAACGGTGTGTGATGGACACTCACTGAGGTAGGAGTAACCTGAGGTCTGTTTGCCTAAAGGCTCACTTAAACTTGACTTTGTCTCCTCCCAGGTCTGTAGGAATCCAGGTCATCAACTGAAATCTGGGCAAAAATTGCCTAAAAAACACGAAACTATAAATCTACTTAAAGCTACAAGTGAGGGAAAAGCCTTAAAGTTTTGGAGCAGCCCAAGGAAAAGTTTTGGTAGTCAGCACTTGGCCCCTGAAATGGCTGACAGGGAGAGGGGAAGGCGATGGCTCAACCTCCCTCCTGCACCTGAGGGGGGAGGAGGAGGGAAAAGCAGGAAAAGCTCCAAGCAGTGAAGTTTTTTTTTTTTTTTGGGGGGGGACACAGGTAAATTAAGAGGTAAAAAGGTGGAGGAGAAGGCCACGGGGCTTGGAATTGGAGTGAGTTAATGGAAGCTGTACCTGGAGAGGAGGGAGCTGGGATTGAGGCAGGAGCAGGGATTGGCCTGGGCAGAGATCCTGCCCACAGGAATTGGGGGGGGGGGGCGCTTTTACACAAAAATAGAGGGCTCGGGGAGGGGGAGGAGGGCACGGGGGTGTCCCCAGCACAGGTGGGTTGGGACAAAGTCGAGGGTTAAAGCGGCAGCGCTGAGGGGCTGGAAGGGTCAGGCCGATTTTTAACCCTGGCCTGGCCAAACCTCCCTAAAACAGGAGAAAACCAGGCTTTTATAGAAAAGAAAGGGAGTTTATGGCGAGGGGAGGAGGGGACAGGTGGGTTGGTACAAAGCCGGGGGTCAAAGGGGCAGCGCTGAGGCACTGGAAGGGTCACACTGGGTTTAAACCCAGCCTGGGCTTAAACCAGGTTTAAGCTGCAGAGGGGGAAAAACAGCGTTTATTGCGGAACAGAGGGGGGAAGGAGGGGACAGGAGTGTCCCCAGCGCTGCCGGTGCAGGGGGGTCGGTCCCACACTCGGGGTCACCTCAGCCGAGGGAGCCGCCGGGGCGGGGGAGGGTCCCGGGTTTGACGCTCCCCTCTCTGGGGCAGCGGCGGGGGGAGGAAACGGGACCGGGAGCCCCCGGCCCCTTCCCTCTGCCGTGACATCACCGCAGCACGGGGATGATCCATCGGGATGGGATCCCGCGGGATGGGAGAGGGGCCGAGCGCTGTCCCCTCCTCCCCCATCCCGGGCGTTTCTGTCCCTGCCCAGCGATTCCCTCTCCGGCATTCCCGTTTTCTCTCCTGTGCGATGGCACCGGGCTGGGTCCCACAGGGCCCTGGCTCCTGGTCCATGGGGACACCTTGATCCAAGGGGATATTCCCCTTTATCCACTTACCCCAAACCTGCTGTGTTCAACACCCCCAAATAAATATTTTCTCTGCCAATGCTTTAAAAAATAGACCTTAAAAAAAAAAAAAAAAAAACCAAACAAAAAAGGACCATAATGATCAACTCTCCAACCTGCTCTGGCTCCACCAACTTCTCCTGCTTCATTCTGCTGTTTTAATGAACCAGGTTATCCCATTCCCAAGGGAACTCCAGCTCCTGTGTCCAAACCCCCAGCTGACAGGGACCAACAGCATTTGGGGACCTCTGGAACCTCCAAAGGGTCAGGAATGGACAGGGAGCTCACCCCTGGCCAAGAGGAGAGCTCCCCATCCCAACCGTTCCCAGGAGCTCAGAGCCAGGCTGGAGCTGACTGGATGGCAGCAGGAATCAGCCTGGGACCAAAAGGTTGGAATCATGGAACGGTTTTGGGTTGGTTTTGGTTGCTGGGAAAGTGGTGAGGCCTGGCACAGGGTGCCCAGAGAAGCTGTGGCTGCCCCTGGATCCCTGGAAGTGTCCAAGGCCACGTTGGATGGGGCTTGGAGCAACCTGGGCTGGTGGAAGGAGTCCCTGCCCATGGAATGGATGGGCTTTAAGGTCCCTTCCAAGCCCAACCATTCCAGGACTCCATGGGCAGGAATCACCTCACCAGCACTCCATGGATGGTGCTGGACTTGGAGCATCAGCCTTGGAAAAAGGGGGCACTGGGAGACCCTCTGGCAAAGGGCTTTCCCAGCCCCTCCCCTCCCATGGGGTTTGTTTGCTGAGGAAAACAAATTTTGGGAATTTCTGAGCTGAAATTCTGTCCTGGGGAGAGGCAGAAAACACAGCACCAACTCAAAATTTGGGATACCCTACATCCCACCTGTAGGAACAGCCATTCCTCTGGGACAGAGCAGATCCCTGAAAACACTGGAAATAAAAGGAGGAATCAGCCTGGCAATGCTGCAGTGGGGTAAGGGGAGCCCCAAATCCTGTTCCATGTCCCAATCCAGGCCTGAGCCCACCCTGGGTTATAACCCAGGACACAGCACTGGCAGCCCCTCCACGTCCTGCCAGACTTTACCTGCACCTCCCTTCACTGGCTTTACCTTCCAGGACACTCTCATGGAGCTGCTGGGAATATCCTGGTGCCTCTGGGTTGTGAGATGAGCAAGAATTTTGGTAAAAAATTAGGACAGTCTGCAGCTGGTGTGGCCACAACCAAAAACCTGCAGCTCTTGGTGCATCTGGAGCACATCCAAACCCTGG